AGAAATAAAAAAAATTAGCTTTAATAACATAAATACCCGAGGTAGTTATAGAACTCTTCTTCTTCACCTCTTCTAGGCACTTTTTGTACTTATGCTTCCAATGACCTTTCTTGTTGTAATGAAAGCGAGACCACACCCTTTGGGTTATTTTGAGCCTTGGGTTTTTTACCCCTTCGGTAGGCATAATTGAGGACTTCTTATTTTTTTTGTTTGGGCTTTTTCTTACCCTTCACCACGTCTTTTCTCTTATTAACCAAAAATATAGAACTCTTGTTCTTCTTGTTAATTTCCAACTGAGCTTCCCTTAGCATGAACAACTATGCAAGAGTTTTTTCCATGTACATCATATTAAAGTTCATGACAAACTATCCAGAGCTATTAAGTAACGATTGCACTATCGGGTTAATGGATAATTCAGCATCCATTCCAACTTAAAGCTTGGCTAGCCTATCAATATAGTCTATCATCTCGGTGACATGTTTTTCGATATTGGATTCTTCATCCATTCTAGCTCTAAAAAGCCTTCTCATTATCTCATAGTGATCATGCCTAGTATTCTTCTCAAATAAGCTCTTAAGCTTTGTTATGATATCAAAGGTGTTTATGCCTTTATATTGACACTTATGCTTCAATGTCATAGTAGACAGTATGATACTTTAAGAGATGATCACATCATTCTTATGTTTTACCCATGTTGCATAAATTTCAACTTAATCCTTAAAAGGATTAGTCTGGTTAAGGTTTCTCTATCTTATAAATAATTTTCTCATCTTAGAGGACTACCCTTAGATTTATTTCCCGAGTGAAGAAATTTATGCCATTAAAGGTATTACTTTCATCAATGATTAATTGCATCGATGTGTTGCTAGTCATACTCGTACAAGCTTACAAGATAGAAAAAATATATGGTATGGTTAATTGAATTGCATAAATAAAACAAAGTATAAATAAAATAAGTAAAATCTATATTCGCCCCCACTATTTTCTTCAAGTTCTATAACCTTTAATATAGGACTCGAGAAAACTTTTTGATTTATTTTCCTTAGTAAGCTTAGGATTTCATCCTCTAACATACATTAACCTTAAGTTATCTCAATAAATCATACATAAAGGATTAGGTAGGTAACTCATTATCAATTGTGTCCAATCTAATTTTTAATCTCATTGGCATGACAACTCCTTATCATCTCACATCTTATATGAATAGCAATATTTCCTATAAGATTATTAGACCTTGCGTTACCTCAACAAACCCAATAACTCATTTGAAGTTAGACTCAAACGTTCGGGAACATGGCATGGCCCGGGATTTGATTCTCTAGAGGAATAAGTAACCTTGAGTTATCTCAACTAGCCAATAACGACCAAGAGAGTTCTCTCCTCATAATGTTGGAAGGTAATTGATTTGATATTTAATTTAAAGAATTTAATATGGTAGGTCTTATCTTAGCATGCATACTAATCATCAATCACATTAATCGTATCATGTATACTAACAATCATAAAATATAAACATACATCTTATGCATATCTCAAGGATCGGTGATCGGTAATCGATATCTACTACTAACCCCTTCGAGCCATGAAGAGACTAGTGGGTTAAATACCTCGGTAAAAAAATTATTATAAATTCTTTGGGTTTGTCTTCACTTCTTGGCTTCTTCCCCTTGCATCTATTCTAATATCCTATCTACTACTTTACATTTATTTGAATAAGAAACCTTAAGTTACATTTGAAAGGAGTAAGATTAGAAGAGAAATACAATAGAATGATAGACAAGGCAGGACACATAAGCCCTATTTAACTAAATATTATAAATATTCATTTCTATGAAATAGGTCGACTCATCCATGCCATTCACCAATGCTTCAATCACATTGATACACGATAACTAATGAAGTACATTTTATTTTAATCACAATTATAAATCTATATTTTGGTCATTTTATAAAATTATTAAGAAAAATTTAAATTTAAATTTCAAGACTCTTCGGACCTTAGGCCCACTTTAGGGTCGTGGCTTTTGGGCCTCGAAGACCCATGGTCTTCATTACCCTAGCCGGGTAGTTCCTAGCACCGGCCAATAACCGTCATTGACCAAGCTTACTCGTGCATGCCGAGCCAATCGCTTGGTGCTCGTGCATGCTTAGCTCGCTGCTTGGTGCACACGTGCACCTAGTACGTGTAGGTCCGGCCCATTCACGTTAGGTGTGTACTTGATGTGCTCAAGGCATGTCTTGGCTTGGCCTTTAAGCTCGACGTTCACCCAACACACACCAACCACGTCACATGCCCAACGCCTAATCGGCTCGCCTAGTAGGCTTGGTGTGTGTAAGGCATGCCCGGCATATCGTGTGTCTTGCACATGACTAACCTCGATCGAAGGCCTAGCATGCATGGGGCATGCCTAGGGCGCGACAAGCCCGGCTAAGAGGCTTGGCATGCATGACACACGCTTGGCCTCTCACATGCCTAGCGTTACGGTTGGCTTAACCATTTTCCGGCTTATCGAGTGCCTAGCACGCGAGCAGCCGAGCTTGTCGCATGCCCGGCGTGTAAGCGACTGGGCCTATCGCACGACCAACGTGTGACTAACCAACCTCCTTGTTGAACCTATGTGTACCAACATCCAATGTTGGCCTTATGTGCCCCACTATTTTGAAGCCCAAAAATTAGTTTTAAAAAATTATATAAAATACCAAAAAATCAAATTTATAATCAAGAATTGATAATTCATGTTAATCATAATTAACAAGGCATACAATTAAAGATTCAATGGAGGCTCTAGTACCAATTGAAGAATCATTCATCCTATGGAGGTGCAAAATAAAACAAAAAAATTTCCTCCATCTAAGCCTCTCAAGATCAAATTATTGAATCAATTAATCATATATACATGAATTAAAGCATGAGTAAAATATTACCTCTTGTAGTGTAGATTTTAGCCTTTGTAGAAAATAGTTGTCCACATTTCCATCCTCTATTGATAATCCACGCTACTTAAAAACCCATAAAGAAAGTCACGGAATTCATAAAGTGCTTCTTCGGTATAGCTAATTGTATTCTAGAAATCAAATTATGGTTTTATGGGATAACTCGACTTTTTAAAAAGGGATGTGACAACTATAGTTTTTGGAGGAGGGAAACTCTTTCTCTCTATTTCTTTTTCTTTAATCGTGTATCACTCTCTCTTGATACCTCTTTGCTCGCCTCCCTCTCATTTATATTGTAGGCGGTATCCTTGTCCTCCTAGGACAATGAGTTATAGTATATATGGGATTTTTTATCTTATATCCTCATAAACCCCGATCTTTATTTAATAAAGTTCATATTTATTCTTCCATCAAAATATCTTACGAGCTTTTCAATTAAACTTATTGGCCCAATCTATTTTCTTATAATTAATTACCAATTAATTTGACTATCCAAATAAATTAGGTTAGATATTTTTTAGGAGGCCGACATTAGGAAAAAATTTCTTAAATTACTTTTAAACCTAAATTAGGAAACTAATTTTCCTTTTTGGTAACTTACTTTTAAATTTTGAACTCGGTTTCCAAATTAGAAAATCGATTTCTAAAATAGAAAACTTTCTATTTTAGGAAACTTCCATTTTTTGAAAACTTTTTCAAAAATAGAAAACTTTGAAAATTGAAAACCCGTTTCAAAATCTTTGCTTCTTTTTTATTATATGAATGTTTAAACTTATGTGTGTGACTCAATAGGCTCCTAGATATATGGGCAATATATCAAGAATAAAAAACACCTCTTTTATCTCTTGATACATAAATCAATATTAGCATATAGCAAGGCATCATGACTATCAAATTTCTAGATGGATTAATTAATCTATAGTTACCTTTCATGAGCATAATTACCATACAATTTGGTCATCATGATAATTTATCATAGTGTGATCTTGAATTTGGTTATTAGTCTATTTGATTACGATCACATAAGTTTTCTTCGAATTCCTAAATATCTTAGCTCTTAGAGTAAACTAATTATGCTTTATTAGTGTACTCTTACCGTGGCCATAGATTTCTTAAGCACACATTTATTGAAGTGCAATGTGATAACTCCATTAGCATACAAAGAATGACATGTCCTATCTTATCCATCCTATCTTTATTAGATTCCTAGTGCACATAATGAATCATCCACATGCAACCTTTTCCGCATCCATCAAAACAAGTATCAAAGTACATAAATCCCGTAATGAAATAACCGTGATGACTTCAAGTCGAATGACTAATTGTATCCATCTCATTTGAGATTCTCATAAACTAAACTAAATGAGTTCTCAAGGCAAGTCAAGTTCATTGATATATTCTCTAACATTAATCACCTAAGTGCTTGCTTTGGTATAACCATGCTATTAGATGTGAGATCTCCTACTCGCTATCATAGAGGATGAGCATATTACCCATAAGTCTAATCATATATTATCAATGTCCATTCTTGATAATTCTACGACTTGGGATACTTAATGATATTATTTAAGCACATTAATGTTTATCTCATATCTTTCGATTAATCCTTAACGCAACAAACATCATATGGAATTCTATATAATTCTATTCAATAAATATAAATAATAAGAATTAATAAAAAGACTTATTTTATTAGTAAAATAAAGAATGTAATATTACAATAAGTCAAACATATCCAAACAAGGTTGGATCTAGAGCGTCTATACAAACAATGGTGATCTTAGGATTTGAGATGGAGGAAAATAATTTTATTGTTTATTTTGCTCCTCAATAGGATGTTTTTCCTTTGGTCTTGCATCCTATAGGTTTGAGGCATTGTCTTAACACTCTTAGTCTCTTTTAGGCCAAGGGTGTTACAAAAAAGGTCTACATAAAGTGTAATCTATGTCTAATCGAACTTAATTGTAAAATGTAACATTGTTAATTAATTAAAAAGAGAGAAAGTTGGTGTTTGACCTTACCAAAATTGATATCGGATTGAAAGTGAATGTTAGATGGCATAAAAGGATGAAGAAAGAGGTAATGAAGATGGTCATGATGAATGGGATTGGTGGTTGAGAGATTTTAAGGGATGGAGGAAAGGAAGAGTAGCGACGAGTAACTTAGGGTTTTTGAGGGATGAAGGAGAGGAAAAATGGAGCAAGAAGGAAGGTTCGGCAAATTTAAGGATTTTTTTAGCGACAAATGCAATTATTTCGATAAAAATAAGCGTCCATCATTGTTTGATTTTTTAAAATTATGCCATTTTTTCGTGTAATTTATGACGAAATGTTTTATCATTGATTTGAGAGATGGACTCAAATTGTTCACTAAATCCGTTGTTGATTTAGTGACGGACTCAATTCTGTTACTAGATCCATCGTTGGTGTCGCTAAATCATCTCTCCATATGTCATTCAAAATTAGTGATAGACGAGCACCATCTCGCCATTACAATCCCTCGTAACTCGGTTGGTATTCCGTCATTGAATTAAAAACAAAAAATTTACTACGTAATTCAACAACAAAAGTTTTTAATTATTAATATGTTGGTATTTCATCTCTATTAAGCCAAAATGTTAAGAAACTGATATAAATCATTACTAATTCACTAATCCATCACTATATATCGATAACTTCATGTCCGTCACTATTTATCTATTTTTTTTAGTGATATTAAGTTTTTGAGATGAGATTTAAAAGATAATACAATTTTTTATAAAGTCTTATACTTTTTAGTAAAATTTTATTAAAAATACATTAAATAAGACTCTTGGGATAAAGGAATTGTAAAAATTGAGATTGCATTTATGCTCCCTGCATTCATTTTTTTATACAAGAGAGCAACATTTGGAGTAACATGATTCATATTTTTTGAGAGAGAACATGCCAAGCTATTGGTATTTGCTAACTAGATGTGATTAAGGAATTAGGGGCTCTCAACAAGTAGATGTAGTTTTTCTTTTTCTAGTCTCTTTTTAGGTTTTTAAGTTTGTATCAATTTCTTTAGTTTGGGGAACAAAGAGGGTTCTTACCATAGGTTGCATTAAGATCAACTTCAATGGAGCTTTTCATCCTATTCTTAAATCAAGTGGACTTGGAGTGGTTTCCGTGGACTCGTGTAGGTTTAGTTCTAAGGGCTAAAGGGATCTATTTTTCTCATGCCTTTGATCCTGCTGTCATGGAGGCCAAGGTCGTCTCAAGGCATGGGCCATTAAGACCTATGCCTAAGGTCTCCTAAAAAAAAAGAGGGGGCCCAAAAAAACTAGTAAAGCTTATTAAGTATTAGAGTTTTGAGTTCGAAACCATATTTCATAATAACAAAACCAAATTTTATATCCTTGGTCTCTAAGTTTCTATCAAGGTCAAATTTCATATTTTCATATCCTAGGTCTTTAACTCTAGCGATTTAAATGAAAATCGAGTTGCTCCCTCTTACAAGACCCATTCCTTAGTCCTCACACTCTCTGTAAAATCAATCTCCATCAATGATTCTTTAATCTCTTTTTTTTTTTTTTTGTGCTTCACCCAATGTTTGTCTCTATTTTTTCCAAATGCCAAATATTTGTCTTTTACTTAATCAAGACAATACTTTTACTTGAAAATGTTGTTCCTTTGTTATGGGATTGGATTGTGTCAATCTTAATCAAGAAAAGATTATTAATTGAAAATGCTATTGTGGGATTGAGTTGGGTCAGTATATTATTTTATGAGATTGTTTGTATCATGCTTTTGTTTATAAGTATAGTGATATTTATTTTTTTATTACTTTTATGTAGATTGTAGGGTAATAATATAAGATCTTAAAGTATCAAAGTGATGTCATAATAAAGATTAAGTAATTTGGCTATATTATCAATTGAAAATTTTTTTGTTTCTAAACTCAAATAAAAAAAAATTAACTAATGATTTTGCATCTCATAAGGCAAGAAAAATATATATTTTTTTAATTTATATATATTATTAGAAGGCCATCAAAATAACTATTGCCTAGGGCTACAAATATTCTTGAGAAGGCCCTAATGGAGGCCATGGCATTACATGAAGTAGTCTTTTCAGCAACATCCTTTCATCATTGTGGAAGCGAGATGCTTTGTTGTCCTTCTTAACATCTTCCATCATTACGGGAAACACTCTTTTTGGCATCATCCTTTTCAGCATCTTCCATCATTAGGGAAGGAGATGCTTTGTTACTCATCCAAGCCATGAGAAGAAGTTGTTTCAACAATTCTAAGCCTCACATGATTTTACAAGATGATGCTCGTTTAATTTGGAATTCCAATATTCTAAATTTTACTTTTGTTAAACAAATATGCAATTGGACTATGCATTATATAGTAAATAAAGTTATTTTCGATTGTGACTCTTAAAACACCTTGATGTTATAATTGATTGGCTTTAGATCATATGGAGGATGCCAATCCAATATGCATCATCTTAATATATCCAAATTATTTAAATAATTGTAATTTCTCATTGAAACTTGTTAGAAAATATATCTCACATTGAATAGTTAAACTAAAGATAATTAATATATAAAATTGAGAAAAGACCATCCATCATAAAGCTTAAGTCTCTTGAATTGAATTCAATATCAATTATTTAATTTTATATGGTATTAGAGTTTCAAAAAGGCTCAATGATCTAACAAAAATCTTAAAACTCAAGTCACTCGATAGATTCTAAAAGATGGATTGCAAATGAGGAGGATGTTAGAGAACATATTTCACAATAAATAGTCAAACAAAAAATGATTAATATATAAAATTAAAAAAAAACACCTAACATAACGTTTAAGTCTTTTGGATAGAATCCAATCTCAATTATTTAACCTTATAAAACTAAAGGAATCACATTAAGAACATTTAAACAGAAAGATAGAGGTGAAAGGTATATAGTTGAATTTATAGGTGTAAAAAAAAAAAATTACCCTATAATTAATTATTATAATACTATTTTCATTTACTAGTACAAATTGATTCATTAAAAAAAAGTATTGAATATGAAATCTCAAGATTAAAAATCAAGTTTAACAATTTTGTTAGTAACAAATTCTATAAACCATAATTTCGTGAGTAATTGATTCTGTTCTACATAAAATATACAATGATTTCTCTCAATGGAACCACCAGTTATTGTCTTATTAAGAATCGAATCAGGCTATGCACAATTTGCTCTTTGCTAAACAATGTTGAATGAATGCACATTTTTATCATAAATAAAACGTGAAAAAAGTGCAAGGCTTCATTGACTTAATCAGGTAGGCGTGATTTCAATTAAAAGTTTTTCGTGCACTCCAAGATACGAATAACATAACCACGCAAGTTCAGTACGCATCTCCCAGTGATCATGAAAGATGTCCAAGCGTAAGTTGCCGTGTTTGACTCTTTTATTTCCACTCGATCTCACCACATGCACCAACCCATGCATATTGTATATAATGGTAATAAGTCTAAATTCTTACAGAGGTAGAACACAAAATACAACCTCAATTTACAAAAGAATATCAATTTCTTCCAGCGACCAGAAACTTGCTCACGTAGCTCTCCTCCCGAGTGCTGGCATGGGTCACCTCACACCTTTCCTTAGAATTGCTGCTTTACTCTCGGTCCAAAATGTCCAAGTTACTTTCATCACCCCATATCCAACGGTCTCCCTGGCTGAGTCACAAGCATTATCTAGCTTGTTTGCTTCCTTTCCTCAAATCACCAGAAAGCAGCTTCATCTCCTTCCACTTGAAAAGCTAAATCCTACCATTTCAGATGACCCTTTTTATTACCATTTTGTTATTAGACAGTCTTCTCACCTTTTATCCCCTCTGCTATCTTCACTATCTCCTCCTCTCTCGGCTTTTATCACAGGCATGAGTTGGCTTCCGTGGTTATTCCCATCACTGAAGCTATTAACGTTCCTAATTATGTTCTTTTCACGACATCTGCTAAAATGATGACATTGTTCCTGTCCTACCACACATTACAGCTGGTTCAGGAAAGGATGATTTACATGAGATGGATGTCATCAAGTCAGGTCCGGAGATGATGCCCAAATCATGGATTCCCCCACCACTTCTTGAAAAAAGCAACAATTCCACAAAGAGCTATTTCATAGAGAACGGTAAGAAGATGATAAAATCGAGTGGGATTCTGGTTAATACATTTGAAAGTTTTGAGAAAGAATCACTCAGAAAACTAAATCATGGTGAAGTTATAGCCGGACTACCCTCAGTTATTCCTATCCGACCACTTGCACCATGTGATTTTGAGAAGAGCAAACCATTAGCGTGGCTTCATGGTCAGCCAGCTGGATCAATACTGTATGTTGGCTTTGGAAGTAGAACTGCTTTGTCAAGAGATCAAGTGAGAGAGCTGGGTGAAGGGCTAGTAAGGAGTGGGGTTAGGTTTCTCTGGGTGGTGAAGGACAAGAAAGGTGATAGACAAGATAACGAAGAGCTGGAAGAGGTAATTGGACATGGATTGATGGAGAGGGCAAAGGAAAAAGGACTAGTGGTGAAGAATTGGTTAAAAACAAGAGGGAATATTAGGCCACAAAGCAATTGGTGGATTTTTGAGTCATTGTGGGTGGAATTCCGTCATGGAGGCTGTATGGCATGGAGTGCCAATCTTAGCTTGGCCCCAGCATGGAGACCAGAAAATCAACGCAAATGTTGTTGAGAGGATTGGAATGGGAATCTGGGTGAAGAGCCGGGGGTGGGGTCGAGAGAAAGTTCATCAATAAAAGTTCTAACAAGCAGTTGACTGAACTCATCAGCATGTGGAAGAAGTTCTGAAGTCAAGAGGATCTTGCGTCCTTTGTTTGAGTGTGTGCATCTTTATTATCATTACCATATAATTATAATGTTCATCAATAAAAGATGAGAGCGGAAAATAAGCATACATATTACAAAAGACATCAGGCTCATTCAAACCATAGTCACATCAAAGCTATAACTACAACAAGGCATTCCTCTCTGTTTCTTAGATGTCTGAAGACTGAACAAAAAGCAAGAAAATAACCTGGCTATTATCTGTCAGTGTTAACTAGTCAAGGTCTTGCTCTTTTTCTTGAGAAGTTTTAAGTAGTTAAGCTAGGATAGCATTCTTTGAAATGAGATCAAAAGATATTCCATTCTATTTCAGCCGTTCTTGGAGATCTGTCGAGCCAAATACAATCCCTGGTGGGAAAACTCCTCCCTTCGGCAGATTATTACGGTGACTTAGAAGAATAAGAGCACATTGAACTCAGATGATTGGGGTGGTTAAATAGGCAATCTCAGGTCCCATTACTCGTGTTATTATTTCCATGTCAGGTTTCATTCTGTCCTGAGAAACATTTGTGTCGCTAAAACCACGTCCAATAAACAACATCTTGAATGAAGCACTTCTCACCTCATCTTCTGAGGGACCCTTCTTCCTGAACCAACCAAGGCTAAAAAATGAAGGGAACTTTAAGAGAAGCCACCTCTCAATAGCATTTCTACCCAAGAGGCTAATGAACATGCCAACTGTAATGAATCGTAAGATTCCCAGTAGTGTCTTAGAGCCTAGCTTCACCGAAAAATGGGCAGGTTTTATTGTTGACCAGAAAGCCTCTCTCTTTTTTATCTGTTCAGGACTCTCATTGACCCCAGGAAGACCACGAGGGTTTTCTGTCAGAGTTGTAAGAGTTCTGCAAACAACAACAGAATCTGCAGAAAGTAGCTTCACAGCCCAAAGACAAATCTCCTTTTGATGATCTATCATTGGTCCTTTGGGAGGAAAGGAACCAGGAATCTGCAAAAACACAGGTAACTAAAGACATTAGCTGCATCTCGTTGTGCAAATAGAAAGCATAATCCATGTATCTTGGTCCTTTGGTAGGAAAGGGACGAAGAATCTGGAAAAATGCAGGTAAATTGATGACATTAGCTACATGTCGTGATGCAACTAGGAAGCACAATGCATGATGAAAAGATTGTCTATGTTGATCTGAAACTTAGCAAGCTTTGTTATTGCATATGGTAAGAAACCTAAGGAAATGATAATATATTTCCCTATTGGAGCTGCAGATCAATAACAAATTTCACTAAAAAGCAATCAGACAGCCAATCTGGAAACTATCAGGGAAAACTCAAGTCTCTTGTTGTTAGTGGCCAATCCTGATCAGGAGCAGACCAACATCATGACATTGACGACAATTCATATCCAGAGTATTTTAGAGAACACCTAGGTGGGACTTCAGACTTTTAGCAGTGCAAGCATCCATGCAAAATAAATGTATTCTAAAAATGAAGACTCCTGCACCAACACGTTGCAACAATCTCCCATCTTGACTCAGTTCCTTCGGAAACAAAGTCATGATAATCAACAGTGAAGTACAGCTTATGTTTTCCCTTCAAATTTTTGGCTATTTTGTTACGAGAAAGATCAATCAAAGCCATGCAACCTCTTCCTTGATTCAGGTCACAAGCAAACGGGAGCAACCATAAGAAAAATATAAAACACACTGCTGCTTAAATGTTGACAAGTTCAAGAAGCATGCAAGTCAAGAATCGAACCCCTAAAAAAGGCACTTTTACTGTCACATACTATACTTAATAATATAATTAGAGCTGAATCCACAGCAACACTGTTAGCACCACTGCTAGTGATATAACCACCAATGTTATCCGTACACAGATTGAATTCACAGGCACCTGCCACCACTGCTGCTACAATCAGCATTCTAAAGTTGCTGAAAGCACAATCATCATGGCACTACCAATGACATTCTCGGTCAACATGGCAGCCATCACAATATCATCATAACTATAGCTACTGCATCTAAATTATGTGTCTATCGTATCCTTTTACGGCATCAGGGCCCTCAAACTTCTGCGATTACTTTCACAGCTATAACAAGGACTTCAACATGTTGCACATTGCTTTATATATCCATATGAAGCACATTTTTGTTTAAAAAGTCCAGTAACGTAATTAAAAGATTGAAAATGGCAACAAGAACTAACCAATGGCTCATAAAAATGGAGACAGTTAAGGATACTTGTTAAAGTGATTTCATTACACATGATTACAGTATAGCACATTATCCCAGTGTGAAGTTCAACCATTAATTAAGACCATATTTGCATGTTTTGGAACCACATCTACAAATAATTAGCATATCATGAGACAGTTGTGGGAGCAAACAATATAAACCACCATTGTTTCATAAAAACGTTACATTCAGAGGGATTGGCCCGCACTTCAGTTTTGTTTTTATAAAAAGGAAACCACAAGACTCAAAAAACAAATTTCTTACCGCTGGCTTTGCTCTTTTGGGCCTTGATCGCCTCAGTTCCACCAACTGCTCGACATTGGCCACTCCCAGAACTGCCGATTCATACGTGGCAAAATTCCCAACGATCCTTTTATCTGACTCCAGGCTCAAATAGGCCTCAATTTGGCTTGGTGCAGCCGGAACCACCCACTGCTTGGAATTAAACATCCATCCCAATTCAGCCGGAACTGAATCAAACCCAGAAGCAGAAACCACTAAAGAATCTGTCTCCATCGCCTTCTCATGGTACTTCACATCCATTCTCTCCATAAACTCAGGCTCCCCACATATGTCCAGGTAATCACACCTAGCATAATTTTCAACAAACACTAACCCCATCAAAAACTACAATTATTGTTATGCACACATACACACACACACACACACATAAACATAGAGAGAAATGAAAAGGGTACCCAGTTTCTGAACAAGCAGCTACAACAGTCTCGCCAAGGAGGCGAAAGGGCCGACACAATTGAGGATGAGCTTGGATTGGGAGCAAAGGAGGCGGAGAGAAGCTGGGTCAGTGGTATCAGCAGTGAGGATAGGAATTGGAGGAGGAGGGGTCGGGATGGGAGGCCCATTTAAAGGTTTGAGCTAATTTTGTGGGATTGCGACCAGCAAGGGCAAGAGATTTGAGAGGAGAAGAAGGGACGTTGAGGAACTTGAAAGATTCTTTGACAACATATTTGCCAGTGAAACCTGAAGCCCCTAAGATGAGGAGATCATAAAGAGGTAGTGACTGAGAGGGGTCTGTGTTCGCTTCCAAGTTATGATGGAAAATTTGACAACTTGGTGGAAGGAAGAGATGTGGGACTTTATAGGTTTTTGGTTTTAGAGATGAGTGCCAGTTCTTGTCTGAGTTTGGACTTTGCAGTGTTGTTTCTTTATAGATATTTTGGGAAACACAAAGGTAGTAGTTCAAGGACAACCTTTGCCACAGACTTTTTTTTTACCCTTTTCCACGTAAATAAATATTATTTTGAAAAAATAAAAATAATAGAAGAAATGAAGGAAAGAATGATAAAAAAAAAAAAGAATTCACTGTAAAGTGAATACAAATGATAAGAACTTCAAATTGTTTTCTTAATCTCTTTAAAAACTTATACATCAACTAATAAACAATCAAGCCTATTTATAAGGCTTAAAATTGAGATGAGAATTAGAAGTGACTATGAATAATTAAAAACAAATCAATTGCATCACCCTTTCAATTTCTCATATTGAATGATGAATTGAATCACATTAAAGATCATAAATAGTGGGGATATGAAAAGTAGATGAACATTTATTATTTCATAACACTCCTCATTGAATATCCATTGTATAAGGAACATGCTTCATTAAAACCTTACTAGAAAAAGCCCGATGGTAAAAAATCCTATTGAAGGAAAAAAAGTACATTATTCCTTATACACATTAATCCCTATTTTGGTCTACTCTGTTGAAGACATTATTTAAGATCTCTAAGACAATACATCCCGATCTTGTGAATCATCTTCTCAAAAGTTGTGGTAGGTAATTCCTTAGTGAACGATCTGCTGAATTATCACTTGATCGAATTTATTGAACATTAATATCACCATTTTGTTAAAGATCATGTGTGAAAAATAATTTTGATAATATATGCTTCGTTCTATCATCTTTGACATATCCTTCTTTTAATTGAGCTATACAAGTAGTATTATCTTCATCCAAGACTATTTGAACTTCTTTGCTAGTGAATAAACCGGATGTCTCTCAAATATGATAGGTCACTAATCGTAACCAAATACATTTTCGATTTGCCTCATGAATTGCTATTATTTCGTATGGTTTAAAGATGTGGCAATAATAGTTTGCTTCATAAAACTCCATGATATAGTTGTATCTCGATATGTAAATACATAACAAGTTTGAGATCGAACTTTGTGTGGATCGGATAAATAATCTGCATTTGCATAACCAATTAATCTAATCTTTGATTTGTTAGAGTAATACGAGCCTAAATCAATTTTTTCTCGGAGATAACACGAGTATATGTTTAATTTTATTCCAATGTCTCCATATTGGAGTAGAACTATACCTTGCTAATAAATTTATAGAAAATACTATATCGAGTCAAGTATTATTAGCAAGATACATTAATACACCAATTGCAATAAGGTATGGTACTTCGGACCAAGAAGTTCTTAGTTATCTTCTCGAAGTCGAAAAGGGTCATTTTGAATATCAAGTGAACGAACTACCATTGCACTAGTAAATGGATGAGTCTTATCTATGTAGAATCTTTGTAATGCTTTTTTTGTATATGTTGATCGATGAATAAAAATTCAATCTTTTAAGTGTTTGAACTACGAGTCTAGAAAAAATTTATTTTTCCAAGATCTTTCATATCAAATTCACCTTTTAAATAATTTATGGCACTTAAAATCTCTTTAAGAGTTCCAATTATATTTAAATCGTCAACATATACAACAATTATCATAAACCCCTTTTCAAATTTCTTTATAAAGACACATGGACAAATTGGGTTATTTTTATAACCTTCTTTTAATAAATAATTACTAAGACGATTATACCATATGCGTCTAGATTGTTTCAATCCATATACGGATCTTTGTAATTTAATCGAATACATCTCTTGATAATGTATTTTGCATGCTTCGGGCATTTTAAGTCATTTTGAGACTTTCATATAGATATCATTATCAAGTGACCCATATAAATAGGTTGTGATGACATCCATTAAATGCATATGAAGTTTTTCACATGCTCGTCAAGCTAATAAGATAACGAAATATAATTATAACCATTATAGGAGAATATGTCTCTTCATAGTCAATGCCAAGTCTTTGTGAAAACCCTTACGCTACAAGTCTTGCTTTGTATCTCATTATTTCATTTTTTTCATTTTGTTTTCGAACAAATAGCCATTTGTATCCTACTAGCTTAACATCTTCAAGTGCTTTAACTATGGGTCCAAAAACTGGTCGTTTTGTGGAGAGACTTTAATTCTTTTTGAATTGCATCTTTCCACTTAGGCTAATCATCTCTATGTCGATATTCTTCAATATATTTAGGCTTAGGATCCTTATTCAAAATATCAATTGCCATATTATATGCAAAGATGTTATTAATGAATGTTTCTTTTCGATCCCATTTTCTCCTTTTGTTAACATAATTTATCAAATTTTTTTTGATTTTTCTCAATCATTTGAGCTTCTTTTGGGAGCTTGTTACCAAAAACATCTTAGAACGTTTTATCCGCCTTCTTTATGTTTTAATCTTGATTATTTTCCCTTTTTTTCTTTTAGAGATTTTTATCTTTAGAGTCGATCGGTCTTTCACACTTCAAACGTGCTTTAGATTCATTTGTTATAATATTAATAGGTTGTCCTACTAGGACATCAATTTTAATAAGAGCATTCTCGGCAGGAACATATGATTTAGTTACTCTCTTTAGATCGGAGAATGCATCCGGTAGTTGATTTGCATGACTTTATAAATGAATTATCTTCTGAACTTCAAGTTCACATTGTTTTGTATGGAGATCAAGATGATATAAAGATGAAGTATTCCATGTAATTTGTTTTTTCAACATTTTTAATCGCTTATTCTGTTTATTTTCTCCCCTAATGTTGGAAAATTATTTTATCATAATGATAGTCGGCAAAACGAGCCATGGAAACATCCTTTGTTAATGATTCAAGATATTTAATTATAGAAGGAGATTCATATCCAACATATATTCCCGATCTCCTTTCGAGGACCCATTTTAGTTCATTGTGGAGGAGTAATTGGGACATATACCGCATATCCAAAAATCCTCAAATGAGAAATATTAGGCTCATGATCAAAAACCAATTGAAGGGAAGATAATTTATGATAACTTGTGGGCCTTATACGAATAAGTGTTGCTGCATGTAAAATTGCATGCCCCCAAACATAAACAAGGAGTTTTGTTTTCATAAGTAATGGTCTAGCTATCAATTGGAGGCTTTTGATAAATGATTCTGCTAAACCATTTTGAGTATGAACATGAGTAATAGGTCGTTCAACTCTTATTCCAATAGACATGCAATGATCATTAAAAGCTTGAGAAGTAAATTCACTAGCATTGTCAAGGTGAATTATTTTAATGGCATAATCTGAAAATTATGCTCGTAATCAAATTATTTGAGCAAGTAACCTAAAAAATGCTAGGTTTTGAGTTGATAATAAGCATCTATGGGACCATCTTGTAGATGCATCTATTAAAACCATAAATATCTAAATGGTCCACATGGTGGATGAATTGGTCCACATATATCACCTTATATACATTCTAAAAATGCTAGAAAGTTAATCCCAATTTTATTTGGTGAAGGCTTAATAATAAGTTTGTCTTGAGAACATGCGAACATGAAAACTTATTAGATTGAAGAATCTTCCGGTTCTTCGATGGATGTCCATATGAATTTTCAATAATTTTTCACATCGAATGAATCTAGGATGGCCCAATCGATCATGCCACAAAATAAAAGGATTAGTAAACGTTTGGTTTACTATGATATTTGTTTCAATCATTTGAATATTTGTATAAAAAATGCCAAAAGAGAAACCAGGTAATTTCTCCAATACATATTTTCTAACCGATGTAGTTTTTGTAATATATAAGTACTCAATATTCTCAACATTTGTTGTCTCAATATGATATCGATTTAAACGAATATCTTTAAAACTCAATAAATTTTTATGGGACTTAGGAGAGAATAATGCATCATCTATAATCAAAGTTGTCCTTCCGGATAGTAATATATTTGCTCTTTCGGAGCCATCAATGAAATTAACACCACTAGATATAGTGTTAACATTTGCCTTGTCCATCATTAAATTAGAGAAATAGCTTTTATTTTTAAGTATAGTATGTGTTTTTGCACTATCCATGATGCATAGATTCTCCTCCATGATGTTTAAACCAATTACAAACTTAGTAATATCAATATAATCTTCATAAACACAAAAACAAACAAATAAATAAATATTGCAACTACTATGATGAAATTATAAAAATAAAACATAAAACTTTTTATTTATCAATAGAAAAGGTCACAAAATTTCAACGATTATCATTAACCTAATGATTTATTCTTTCGGAATCTTCAAAGAAATCAACAATATCTAAATGTGTCAAGTTACTGAAACCTTCGAAAGGAACATTGTCATAAACATTATTTTGATATATAAAATTTGCTTTTATATCACTTTCTTTCCTTTTCAATAAGGCTTGATAATGCACAACTAGGTGCTTTGACGTACGAGAGGTACGCGATCAATGTCCCTTCATACCACATCTATAACATTCATTTTTGGAGTGCTAACTTGATCCACCTTTATTCTTTTCTTGTTTCTTTTCATAATTTATTCACTTCGAGGGTGAGGTGTATTATTGTTACCACTATGATTATAACGATAATTATTTCAACTATGACTATTGCCACAACCACGTCCACGTCTATGGCTACGGCCACAACCATGACCACGTCCATGCCTAAAATTATTATAAGATGTCACATTAACTTCGGGGAAAGGAGTAGATCCAGTTGAGCTAGGATTCATGATTTTTCATTAGTAGTTCATTATTTTGTTCAACCAAAAGTAGGCACGAAATCAATTCATAATATTTCTTTAAACCTTTTTCTCGATATTCGTTGTTGTAGGAGCATATTCGAGGCATGAAAAGTAGAAAATGTTTTCTCTAATATATCCGAATTAGTAATATTTTCTTCACGCATTTTTAG